GGGCAAGTGTCAGTCACCTTCTCTGGTGGATGAACCTTGTCTGGGGACACTCCAGTGCAGGGCAGATTCAAGACTGAAGAGTGATAGAAAAGGGTAAATTGACGTTGGGTGGCAACAGGGCTTTCTGTACATCTTCCAGCACTACTTGTGTGGCTGCTGCTTAACACAAAACAGGGAAACAACCAGCAGTTAATGACTTCTCCTGAGCTCACTCTGGTGGACAAAAGCTCTCCTGCCCATGTGTTTCCTCCTCCTGGGGACAGGCAGGAATGCAGAAGTTGAGAGGTTGTGTGAGGTTCACCCTTCCTGAGAAGCTCCTCTTGCTTGGGCACGTCCAGAGGGGTGTCATGGTTGAGCTGCTGAGCTGGTTGAGGGAAGGTGCTCCTTGTTGCTCTCTGAAGACCCCAAGAATGTGAAGCTGTGGGTGCTGTTGTGACTTGTTGGGAACACTAGAAACGCCCAGTGTGGCTCTGCCTGTGCTATAAACCCTGCCCTACCCTACCATGCTCCTCTGAGTCACCCCCGACACCCAGCCCTCCCTGGAGAATTGCAAAATACTCCATCTGTAAGGTCTCCTGGTGTGCCCAGCACCTTTGGGACAAAGCTGACGATGCCACTGCGTGTTAGAGGTCGGCCAGTGGGGGAAGGAGTGACTCCTTGGTGTGGCCTGGCTCCTTTGGGGGCAGCTCCTTTCTCACCTCGTGACTAACACTTGAGTCAAATGGGGAGAGAAGCTGTGGGCAAGTGACACCACCAGAGCTCTTGAACCTCATGGAGGTCATGAAAAGAATAAATAAATGTTGGGGGCATGTCACTTAAGCAAATACACAGGAAAAATACACTTTGGCTGGACCAATTTCTTCTGAATTTCCCTCCTCTCCCTCTCCCTGTGCCTTTTTTTAAATCTCTTTCTTTTTTTGTAACTAAAATTAGAACCAGAAATGTAATTTTGAAATGCAAGCTAGAGAAAATCTCCAGTTGGTTTATTTTGCGTATGAAGACCTTGGCTTTTCTTTCCTCAGATCTTTAAATCCAGGCCTCGTATAAACCTCTCCTGGGCTTGCCTGCTGCCACACTCCAATTCTCTGTTTTCCAGTGGTTTTGCTCTCCAAAACAAACCCCTGACAAGCCAAATGCCTCCAGGTCCCCAAAGCCAAACTGCTTTATAAATAACACCCACCTTTCAGGTGGGCAAACCTGGTTCCAGAGGTATTTGAGGCTCCTACCACTTTCCAAGCTTGTTTTTATTGACCTTTGGCAGGTTCTATG